TATATTTGCTCATAGATGCCATGTCAAGTCCACGATAAGTCTTCCACAATGACTTGTTAGGTACTTTTCCTCTGATGCAGATCACTTGACATTTGCTTTAATAGATAACAAATTCAATGTATAAAAACCATTACTCTTTTTGACAGTTACATCTCATTAACAAGAAAAGCATTGAAGCATTTTTTCAGTTGATGTATTGGTCCCACTCATCGACTGCTATTGACACATAATATCAGAATCTCCTTCTCAACAGATATTTTTTTTCTTTGCTTATGGATCTAGTGTGACCTCTCATACATATGTGTTGATTGTATATTTCTTGTTTCCGACTCCAAGAATTATCATGATGTTGATATATCTTTTTCCATCACATCAAATTGACCCATGATGCGAGTAATAATACATAATATTAGTTCCATTTTGTCGATTGAAATTTGCACTCTTGTGATGAAATGCATTCATGACCCAATTATAACCTATCTGAAGGTCCCAGATTGTAGTTTGTAGGTAAATTGTCATACCTTCATTATAGATGATTTATTATGGTCCAAATGACCTCCTTCCCATATCACACTTATGTAAAAAAAAAAACCATATTCTTCATGCTTTTCTTGCTATTTGCAATCACCATGCAAATTCCTTCTCCTTTCTCGTAGCTTGATTGATTGAACATGTCAATTTGCATTAGTTCATTTGAATGCTTTGGATCATTGATGCCACTTGATCATTTGAAGTTTTGGCATAAGCTTTGTGTGCACATTCATATTGAGAGCTTCACATTTTGATTGCAAGTACATTGGTTGGAATGGGATGTAGGAATTATAAGTCTCTCATATATCTTCATTTGCATCTAAGTTTGAGCTTACCACTTGTAATCTATACAAGTTAGATCTTATATGTTTTCATTTGAAATTCTTTTGGGTTATCATCAAAATCAAGTCCAAACTCAAGTTTGAGTTTGTCTAGTTCAAGCTTTGCTCCAAGTTTGAGTTCAAATGATTCGAATCATGGCTCTTTTGAGTCAAAGAGATTCAAATCCAGCCTTGTTGTAGTTCAAGCTCTAAGTCCACAAATAATTTTATTAGGTTCAATTCAAGTTCATTTTGATTGAATCTACTTTGGATTAAGTCTTTTAATTAATCATTCAACATTTGCACTTAATCACTTTAATTGTCCAAATCAAGTCCGTGTAGTTGTCCAAATTTTGTGCAAAGCTTGAGTTCAGTTTGTTCTTCTTGAGTTTCATATATGAGTCAAATGTGGTTCCCTGTGATCTTCTTGAGTCCAAAACTCTAGTTCAAAATTCAAGTCTTCGTAGCCTTGTTGAATTCAAGTGCAAATTCAAGTTCTCTTGTAGTTGTCCCAAACTACAATCTCAAGTCAAAAGTTCTTGCATTTGTTCTATTGTCCAAGCTCATGTTCAATCAAGGTCCCTGTGTCTTGTAGGAGTCCAGGTTCAAGTTCAAAGTGAGACCAATCAAGTTCAGTTTGCTTCGTTGTCTTTCAAGTTCATATCCTTCCTCTTTATTCAAGTTATGGTTCAAGTTGCAAATTCAAGCCAACTTGAGTTTAAACTCAAGTGTAGTTTCTTATAGCTTATTTAAATTCAAGCCAATTTTTAGTCATTTGATTTGAGTTCTGAGCATGGCCAAGTCCTTGGATCTTCAATCCAAATTCGGCAGCCTCCCGACGTCTCCCCCATTTAGGAAAAAACCAGAGGCTGCCTACCTGCCACGTCAATAAAAGCGTGCACGGTTGGTGTTTGGTGAGACACCGCGGCGGTTGTATTTTTGTTTTTCGCCCACCACGCCAATAAAGGCATGCATGGGATTTTGAAAAACATTTTTTTTTTATGAAAAAGGGCAGTTTGCTTTCCCCCGCTCGGAGGTATACTATAAGTTACCCCGCTTCCGCCGTAGTGCCGCACTGGGTCACATCCACTACGCGCAAAAAGCGTGCATGGGGCGATTCTCCTGTTTGCACGAACATGAAGTAGGGTTTGAGTTTAGAAAATTTCATACCTTCGCGGGGTTGTCTGGTGGGATGGCATGTGGATCGAAAGGTCACTCGCCTACCTCGTCTAAGTGTCGCACCGGGGATCCCATCCACCACGCGCACTAAAAGCGTGCTTGGCGGTTTTACCGGCCCGATACAAACATCGAGGTAAGATAGTAGAGGGGATTTATATTTCCTCCACTTTATTAATTATAACACAAAATTATAATTATCTTTAATTAATTATGAATTACTATAATTAATATAAAACCTTTAATTAATTATAATAATTAATATTAATTAAATTTAATTAATATAATAATTAATCATAATTAATTAATATTAACTTTAATTAAGATTTAATTATAATTAACTAAAATTAATTATGATTAATGTTTACATTAATCATAATTAATTCAAATTATAATTAAAATTAATAATTATAGTTAATTAAAAATTATTAAATTAATTAAATAATATTTAATTATAATTAAATAGATAATATACACTAAATATAATTTAAATTTTAATTAAAACCCTTAATATTCTCTCCCTCCTCTCTCTGCTTACGATTCAGCCAATGAAGCGGTGAAAGGGAGAAGATACCTTCACGGCAAGAGCTCCGTGGTTACTTCGATCAAAATGTCGCAACTTCCAGTCCGACAAGAAGGGAGAGCGTCGAAGGAGGAGGCAAGGGGAGCGGAGGTGTCGGGTTTAGGCAGAGGAGAAGATCGGGATTGGCTTCGAACTGATGGAGTTCGGGAATTGAGGTAAGAAGCTCTTCTCTCTCTCTCTCTCTCTCTCTCTCTCTCTCTCCTCCTCTCTCTCCTCATCTCTCCTCGCGTCTAGATCGGGAGGAGCAAAGGAGCGGCAAGGGAGAGGCTGGATTCGGTGGAGACAGAGGGGAGATCGTGAAATGGGGAGTGGAGTCGAGCGTGGAAGGAGCTTCGTGTGAGCAGCCAGAAGAGCGGCTTCTTCGTCTCCTATTTAACGACACAAAAAGAGTCCGATTCAACGGAACTCCTACAGGAATCACGGAGAAGCGACACTAGTGACGCCGATTTCAACTGGATTTGCGGCAGAATTGTGATCTGTCGGGTAAGAGGTTTGCGCACTGGATTCTGCTTCTTTTCCTCTTGTTTTGTTTATACAGAGGTTAACAGAACTCGAGCCGAGCCGAGTATGTGAGGTTCATGTTTGTGTTCATTTAATATCAGCTTGTTCATGTTTGGTTCATGTTTGTTCGAGCTTTAGCGTTTGTGTTCATGTTTTGTTCATTTAAATTAATGAGTGTTCATGTTCGGTTCATGTTTAGTTCATGTTCGTTCGTTTAGTGCTTATTAAACTTGTTCGTGAACATATTTAACGAAATGTTTCTAACTATCAAACAAACACATTCATGAACATATCTATGAACAAACACATTTATAATAAAATCCATTGTTTATGTAATAAAGGCAATGATTATTTATATTTATTAATTCTATAGTCAAATATTAATTATTTTTATCGAGCTTATTCACGAGTTCAAAATCGAACACGAATCGAGCTTTTATCGAGCTTCTTATCAAGCTTAATGTCGAGCTTGTTCATGAACTTCAAATAATGTTGTTCGCGAACATAAATGAGCCAAACGCATTAGTGTTCAAGTTTGTTTATTTAAGAATCGAGTATTTAAAATATTGTTCAAGTTTGTTTGTTTAGTTAATTAAACGATCACAAACGAGCTTTAAACGAACTGAACAACGAGTAGCTCGTCGAACATTTGGTTCGCTTGCAACCCTATTTGTGATCGATCACATCCGATTTGACTACGAGGGGTTCCCTCTTAGATTAATTTAATGCTCTGATCGCAACGACACAATCTATTTGACGATTAGAGGTCGTTTGACCTTTCAAGTGACGCATCGCACCGACATGTCCGTCACTTAATTTGCTGATTTTGCCCCTTTTGCGAGCATTCTAATGTAGGGGTCAACACAATGTTTATTGAAAAGCTTATCAAAATATCTTATCTACCTTTGTTGAATATCATCTCTTAATAAAAGTATTTTTTTTATCTTCATCCTTAATGAACTTTACTTGAACTAAATCCTTAATTTTCTCTTTGCTTAGCTAACTTATACATACATCCATCATCCTCCTTAATATCTAATCTATTATATAAATGATTAAAAGCTAAATTATTTGCATCACATATAATTTTATTAGACTCCTTAGGGGCCTCTTTATACCTTAAAAAAGAGGAGTATATCAACAAAAATGAAAGGTAAAATATACATGCATTAGATGAGGGAAAAATTAGTGTATAAGAATTAGGAACAAAAGATGTAGACTTAGGGGCTGTTTAGTTTGAAGTAAAAGGGCGTAAATAATTCTAAATGTTGGGGTTTGGAGAATATTGGTGTTTGATTTGAAATAAACCAAATGCAATATAAAACGTTGGTGTATTTGGAATTCAACTTCTAGTTCAATTTTTTATTATTTGGAATTCCTCCAATTTGAGTGACTTTTAAATACACTGGAACTTCATTGTCTATCGCACCTGCCGTCGGCTACCACCAATGTCAATTGCTGACGAGTGCCACCACTGCTGCCGACAGCCACCACGGCCGAATGTCGCCGTCGGCCCACCACCGTCACTGGCATCCGTCTCCAGTCACATTACTACCCGTCACTGCCACTGAACATCATATCTTTAGACTTTACATTGCATTTATTTTACTTCAAGTCAAACAAAAAAAGGAATTCTCCGCATTTATTTTACACTCATCCAAACAACTCCAAAGCATTTTAAATATACTATATTACTTTTAAATTGCATTTCTTTTACAGTGAATTTTTTTAGCCAACCAAACAGCCCCTTAAGATAATATGAAAAGAAATTATTCAAAATGACGTACAAATAATATGTTTAATCCCAATGAGAATAAATTAAAAATTGATGATTCATATAGTTGAACCAAATAGTTGGGGAAGACTAATGGTGATGTTATGATACTTACAATGGTGGAAGATCAGCATCTGAAATGGCTTCACTGAGTATGCGCTCATGTTCTTGAATATTCTGCTTCATTTCACGTGCTAGATTCTCCTGTCCTTGAAGTTTAGCAATGCTTGGATAGTAAGCTCTGGCAACAAAAAGTTGATCTTTAAGTCTCTTGACTATAGCATCTTTCATTGTCTCTTTGTGTTCTTTGGACCAAAGACAGTAGCTCCCAAATTCAAGCTCGCAAGATTTCTGAGCTCCGGCAAAATTTGAAACGTCAGAAAGTTTCACTCCAACTCTGGCACCTAGCTGAGAGGAAAATAATATTGAATTATTTTAAATATTAATAAAAAACATAAATGATTCCTATTCCATGGACCATAGAGAAATTCAAGAAAGCAAGCCGCTAAAGATGTAAAACAAACAAAGAGTTAAGACCCAAAAATAAGCAGGAAAAAAAGTATATCGTGGCAGTTTTCATTTGTTGGGATCATTCATTAATCACTTTCGAAAATTACTTTAAATAAAAACTAATTTTCTACCATGTAGAAGATGTTTAAGAGTAGATCTGTCAAATCAATAGCAATAAAGGAAAGCGCATCCTCATCAAAACTTTGCCAAATCATAAATAGCAAGCGGCTTAAACAAAAAAATGAACAAATATTGCAAATTTACCTATTGATCTTACCTTAGTATCCAGAGCTGGGTGCATTTTTGAATCAACACCTGATGGTTTAGGTAGGTCTGAAGAATCAAACAACATAAATAACAAAGAAGAAATAGGCAAGGGCGCTAGCAATAAATACAGCATTTTATACCTTCAGTCAGAACTTCTGATTCTGGGTGGGATGCAACGCCTGTTAATCCTGAAGTAAGTTGTTCACTAACCTCATTTCTTTTGGAGTAATTTAATTTCATATCACCGCCTTCAGCTATGTCTTGAACAATTTCCTACGAAGCAGAAAGTGGAAAATTTAGAAAATTTGATTGCACGTCTCTGGGATCATTTCTCTTTTTAGGTAACTAACGGGGTGAATAGGAGAGGAGGAACCTATCTGTTTATTGCAAACGGAAAACCGGTATTAGAAGACAAAGCACAAGCACCAAATGAAGTAGAAACTAATAGATGAAAAATGACCTAATCATCAAGCAAAATTTGAAGACAAAAAAGCAAAGCAAGGAGTCATTATGGAGCACATATGTGAAAAAAAAAAAAAAAAATCAGTCTGCGCCACCAATCATGGTTTGAAAAACCTTCTTGTAAAAATAACACGCAAAACAAAAACATGGCTTAATAGACTGTGGAATTTATAAAAAAAAGTATTCTTTGAACCAAGAGGCTGAATGTCGTCAGCCCAATTACCAAAGAGCAATAATCATTTAACTAAAAGAATACAGCATAAGAAATCAGAAGGCTCATTCCCAAAAAAACTAATAAAAATTAAAATATCTTTATATGGTATAACAAGCCAAACAAAACTTTAAAAATACAAAGGAAAAATCAAACATAGCAATTTCAAAAGAAAGAGAGAGAGGGGGGTGTTCCAAGCAAGGCATCAGTGATGGCAATAAAAATATTTTGGCAGAAATAACTGACAAATTTATGAAAATAAACACTTTTAGAGTAGGAAAAAAAAAAAGGAAAAGCTACTAAGTCTAAGAGTCCAGACATATACCAACGAGTTAGCGGTTAAAAGCATTCATCATCACAAACCTCCAGAATAATACAAACATGTTAAGGATTAAAAGCTTGAGTCATCATAAGCCCAACCGTATTTTACAAACACACAAGTTCACAACATTGATTTTCAGAATTTCAGAGGAGCCATTTTTGTGCCATTTTACATACAAAATAACTCAAAACGAGCAACACAAAAACCCAACAAATAAAATTCAAGTGCGAAAAACCAAAATAATCTAACAATATAATATTATCAAGAAAAAATAATATCATTACTGGAAACTTTGTACAACCTCTGCCTGTATAGTTTCTTCTAGGTAAGAAAGAGCATAAATAGATGAATAATAAAAAAACCAACAAATAAATTGATTATATGAATAGATTACAAAAAAAAAAAAAACCTAAAAATAACACACCTTGCAACTCCAGATTCCCGCACAAGGTGGTCCGGTCATTTCCCACACATGATGACCAAACGACATTCTTGAAAACAAAACCCATGAATCATTTAAAAAAAATGAGGGCTTACCGGTTATGGGTCGTGAGTCAAGCGGGGAGGAAGGATTGGAAGAGAGGATGTGAGAAACAATGCATGTGCTGGGAGAAGCTTTGTCGGAGACTTGTAACTCGTCGAGCTCGCGAAGGACACAAAAATGCCGAACGGAGGAGTAAACGAGGAGCACGTCGTTGAATGAATGAAATGAGTACAAGAGGAATGGCCGAATGGGTTGAATACCAATTTAGGTTTTTTATGAACCGCATGATCTTAGTCCAACGGCTCAAATTAATTCGTGTTTGAACCACACGGTTTTGGATAATCGGGGCCAGTTTGTCGGATCGACCGCCAGTCCGAGCGGTTCTTGGGTGGTTCGAAGCTAATCCGATAATGTATACAGACTGAACCGACTGGCCCACCGGTTCCCGGTTTAACCAATTGAACCAACTGGTATGGTCCAATTTTAATAACCTTGCATATTCCTGCATCTCTTCTATTACCATTTGTCAATGAGTATAATTCATGTGTGTGGGCTCCGAAAATTCGGCCCCGGCCTCCGCCCGCTGCGATGTGTTTGCTTTTTCTTTGGCGAGGGAGTTTTAACGGAATATGTTCCGGGATAAATTTTGGGAAGGCAGATGGGTTTGTATATAAGACACTACCTAGAGATTTCGCCCTCATTTTGCGAGGACTTTATGATCTGAGTTCTGATTTCCTATAGGCGCAAGCCCCTATAGTTAATTACCCCTCCCGACAATGAGAGAGAACTTTCGATTAAGGCTAGTCGTCAATCAGATACGTAGAGATATGTGTTATCTGGCACATAGTAGCAGCATGAGTTTGGAATGGTTAGAGAATTTGGGAATTTGGAGGATTGGAAAATTTAGAGATTTGATATTTAAAATTGGAAAATTTACCACCTAGCACTTAAAGTGGATGGTGGGGGAACGGATGATAGACCCGATCAAGATCCCATGGTTCCGTCATCCCAGGCCATCATGATCCCTGGTCTACTTAGTTAGAGGATGTAGTCGACCCAACCTGACGGAAGCATTCTTGTCGGAAGCCATGGGTTGCTTCGTCCAAGGGAACCTTGTAGACCTGGGGTGAGTGTTTGTCTAAGGGGACAAATTTAAATCCACCTTAGCTAACAGAGGGCTTTATGCCCTATCGATCATATCATATTGATTCATATCTCAAGGATTTGATGCCAATAAGGAGCGTATTGGCTCTGGCCACAACTGGTATTTCGTGGTGCCATTTGATGGCAAAACCACTCAGTTCAGAGGGCTCTGAGTCATAACCGTTTATCCTGCGGTGCCATTTGACGGCAAACCGCCGGTCAGAGGACACGTACCACATCCTTACGGGCAGGAGATTGGTTGAGAATGGATCATAGTGATATTTTCAACCAGGCATTAACTCTTTGTGAGCAGAAGTAATTTTCTAATTTGTCCACCTCGGCAAACTGTTGCAGATGGTGGATGGATTTTAGCTTTAAGTGTTGATGGATTTATTTCAATTTTAAATATTTTTGGATTTTGGGATTTTCTCTAGCTTCTAGATTTTTGACTTTGTGGAGTTTCGGATTTTTGTAGGTATTTGAGTGGAGCTTTGGAATATTTGAAAATGACCCCTCCGATTAAGATATTCATCCAACACGGCCATCATTGGGGTGTTCGGGGTCACTTTCATTTAAAAATGTTTATGAACTTTGTCGACCCTATCAACTTGCTAATAGGGGATCAGGTTTCGTAGGCTTTATGTCTTTGTTAGTGAATTCATATTGTCATAGGCCTTGAAAGCCTAATATGAATGTATTAAAACAAATATCCTGGTCGTCATGGCCACATATTTGTTTGTTGGTTCGAACCCTGTCGACTCCTATTAATCTGTATAGAAGGATCGGGTTCGAACTTGAATTCACTTATCGACCCGCATAACATCCTTAAACGTCATGTGTATACCAACAACACGCATGCCGGGGCCCATGCGGGTATTTGGGGGCATTTTTTAATTATACCCTATCTACTTCTTTTTACCTACTCAGGAGGATCGGGTTCAAATTTAATAACCCGCGCAGCATCCTTAGACGTCACATGTGTACCAATAACACGCTCGCCGGGGCCCATGCGGGTTTTATAATTGCTTTTACCACTTTTAGTGTACCTATGTATATACAAACTACGGTGCACGTGTGGGGGTATTTTTAAAGTACTTGTAGACGCCTTCTGTCCGCTTGCATAGAAGTTGCGGATTCGGTGGCGTGTTGTAGCAGCTTCTGGATTGAGTTGTTTGTTGCCTTATATAGGTAGACTGTCGTGCATTATTTGCTGCATTCAGCAGGCGGATTAATATGCACTAACGAATCTCCTGCTTCCGATTATAGATGCTTGTAGATGAATCACTGTATGCCTGATGGACCTTCTACAGTCACTTGTGGGCACACTATAATTTCTTCTAACATCTACGATCTTTCATCAGTGTTTGCACATAGATGTAATAAGAGATATCATGCTTTCTTGCATAAAGGTCAAGCTCTTTCTCCTATAACCTTCTTTACTTAAAGATCACATTATACTTGCAATATATATGATGAACTTGGTTGTGGGTCTCCGAAAGGATTCCGCTCGTGTGGTTCGAATGCAAAGGGGCACGATCACACTATCCCGTAGGACAAAATGGTCGTAAACTTTTACACCCGACACAAGCAGGCCGATGGAAGAGCAGATGGAGTTATAGATACGATTAGCCATGGAGGATAGCGGCTTTCACCTACCAACCTCGATGGATAATAATATCTATAACCCAAAATTCACGAGATTTCCCCTATTCGATACATCAGCTCGAATAGGGTTTATTTGATTGTGGGGATCGATTTCCTACGGGCGCAAGCCCCCGTAGTTAATTACATCTTAGATCTCGATCTAAGAAAACTCTCGATTAAGGACATTAGATTATCT